AATAATATAACTTTTAATTATAATACTTTAAAAAAATATAACACCATCCAAGAAAAAAACATTGGTTTAAGTGCTCACAGTTCATGTTTGAGCAAAACATCAAAAGGTTAAAGCTCTTTGACATAAATACTGTAAATCATTTTATATGTATTGTGCCCATGGCTGGACTGTTCTGCCTGAGGTGAAGGTCTCCAGAAGTGCTGACTGCGTTCCTTTGGGGTGAATTGTTGGACAATTACTGAACGGAAGGCACAGCTGAAGGCATCAAGGATAACATTGGTTTCCTGGTTTAGACCAGAAACATCCAGAACACACACAGCTGTCCTTCTGACAAAATGCAATAACTCCAGACTATACTGAGATCAACACTGCTGTGTATCCAACTTAAAGTTCTTTAAATAAAAAAAACAAATGCACGTTACTTTAGTTAAGATTAGAATAACCTAAATTTACTTGTCAACAATAGAATCATATGTCAATATATTAATCAGTAAATTTTGTGCATGCATGTGCAAGTGTGATAAAAATACATGGACTCTTATTTAGAACAAAACGTTTTGGTTAGAGGGCAGCATGGTGGCACAGTTAGTAGAGCTGATGCCTCTCAGTGAGAAGGTTGACGGATCAAATCCCGGCCCAGGACCTTTCTGGGTGGAGTCTGCATGTTCTCTCCATGCATGCGTGGGTTTTCTCCAGGTACAGTAGTCTCTCGTTGATCGCGGGGGATCCGTACCCTGAAATCCCGCGATAAGTGAAAAAAAACATGAAGTAGGAATAGTAGTAGTACAAGTAGCAAGTAGTAGTTTATACATACACACAAATACACACATAGCGTTTCTCCTACCATTATACAAGCGGGGCGCCCTGCCCAGTCAACAGAACCGAGTGCCCCGTCTACGGATGATCCACCCCAACCACCTGTCGGCACTGACATAATGCTAAACTAGTGGCTTGCAATACAGGTGCACTAGCTGCAAAACTAAAGGCAGCCTCTTCCCTCATGCTGAACCCTCATGCTGAAACCAACCCCACTCAAAAACTGTTGGTATAAACAGCGCACAGCTCAGATGTGTTTCTGTCTCCCCCCAAAACTGTTGGTACAAACAGCATGCGGCTGAGATGTGTCTCTGTCTATCTCTCTCCTCTCCCCCACCCCTGTTCTAGAACTGTAAAACTGTCCGTATAAACAGCGCACTGTACAGCTCAGGAGCACAGAAGGTCATGAATTCAGCTCTCTGCCTTGGCTGTACTCTTGGCCACGTCAACTTTCCCACTCTGCATGGAGATCAGCCGATCAGCTGCAGGAGGAAGCTTCTCCCACAGCTGTGGGCTGCACACAGATGCAGCAGGAGCTAAATCGTTTAAAATAATTTATTTTGAATAAAAATTCCATGCTGATCGTGCAGCTCATCCAGTCAGTCAGTCAATTGTGTCT